ATCACACCTCTCCTGCCAGCCTCAAAACTGTGATTTGAGGATAAAATGAGATGATAAACGTGAAAAATTTGAAAGGCTGTTTGGAGCATTATGCAAACACAAAGTCACTTTATCTCCACATTTTATGAGACCAGAAATCAGGAGTCTTGTTGGAAGCAAATTTGAGTTGTGAATTTTTTAAAGTAATATGTGATAATGGAAGATGGCTCTTTAGGTGAAACACAAAGCCATTCTATTTCTATGTGTTTCTCCCCCTTCTTTCTCAGCAGTGCAACTGAAATAGAAGTTAGGCTTCTTTATCCCCCCAAAGAGAAGGCTGGCCTGAATTTCCACTTTAGACTATTTCTTTGAGTGCCAAGAGATTGTTTCAGCAGAAGGAACTAATCTGCAGATAGGTCTGCCCCCGCACAATGCCTGGCATTGGGGGCACGGACTTTAATTAAAATGGAAGAGTTGGTCATTTCTGGCCTATGTGGGAAGATGTGGTTTGAATGAAAGTAATGACTTTTGCTTGAAATGCAAATATTAATGCAAGAAAGAGCTGGGAATGACTCTTGGTGCAATTGAAAGAGATTATAAATTTTTGTTCATGCCTTCTCTTAAAGTAATTGTCCTTTTCCCTCCTGAAACTCTGTAATCTATACATTTAACATGTACGGTACTTTTTCTCCTTACATTTTCCTTCAGCTGGCAGTGTGTCTTTTAAATTCTTAGAAGCAGTGCAGATTTTAGGTATTCATAACTCTTTGAGAAAGTCATGGGGATTTGTTGTGTATGTTTATTTGTATGGCATAAGCTAGTTTCAGAAAGAGCTTTCTTCCAGGCCTTCTCAGTTTGGTTGTGTGGACATTTGTCCCTGGCCCCATCGTCTCAATTCATACACAGAAAACAAAGTGACCATGTTGTGAAAAGTACATATTTTTACCCTGCCACATTTGTATCTACCAAAATAAAGTTTTAAAATTTGAAGTAACATATATTGCACCGGGTCAAGTGCACTTACCTAATTACCAAGTATTGCAATATAAAAAATGTGTTTTGAATGTTGATAAGACATTTATAAGGAGAGATGGAAATGTGGTCAATTATATGGGTACATGCCAAAAGCATTTCAGATCAGTGATATTTTTTACTAATTAAAATCATTGTGAGTGAGAGGTATACTTAATGAGGAGTTACAATAGCTTAAGCATTGTGAAGTTATTATTTTTATATTAAAGCCCATTTTTAGAAATAAAAAATGAGAACTACCCATATTTCCTCTACCCTAATAAATCATGCTTCCCCCCGCCCACCTCTTGTTGATATCTTAATGGATTTTTATGTAATTGCAATTCCAGTGTAAGAGCAATTTTGAGTTCAGAATTTTTCATTCAACATTCATTATGTAGAAAGAGTTTCTTTTTTTTCCATATTCAACTGGATGTTAGGGCATTCCATAGCCACTTGTCAAACATGTAGCTGTTTCCTGATTTTTTTGTTTGCTTGTTTCCTTTTAGATACAACTGCAATGGACATCTTTGCTCAAATTTAATGTTAACTTTCTGTGGGGAAGGTTTTATTTTTAGAATAAATCAAAAGAAGTGAGATTACTATGTCACATGCCAAGCAGAGCAGGTAGTAAGTGGTCTAGAGGAGCCAGATGAAGGTAGGCACTGCAGGTGACTCAGAGTGTGACAGGAAGAAAGGAGAGGGCTCACTAGCAGAACCGTGCCCTGCTGTTGAATTGTGTGGAACACACCCAGCGCTGAGGCTGGGCAAGGGGTTGAGAGCCTCAACACATTCCACTGGGAACCTCTCTCCCTTTGCCAATCAGCATCCTAGGAAATGGCTTTGGGTGTGAATCAGACTAACTGAGAGGGTGACTCCACGCTCCTCTCATTGCTTTGCAGTTTTGACTGCCAGCCCAAAGTCAAGGATGGCTCATCGGTGCGAAGGCATTGGATCTGGCCCAGGCAGCCTGGAAAAAGCAGTGGGAGGGAAGAGAGATGACCAGACAAAAAGGACAGAATAAGCGATGAGCGAGACCTCTTCCACTGCCGTTCTGAAATCAGGTGCTGTTGGCCAAGGCTCTGTTTCTCTTTACCCACACGCAAGGGCAAAGGCGGGGCCTGCAGGGCAGTCGGTCCTCCTTCTATCTGACCTGGAGCTGGGGAAGCTGCAGGAGCAAAGGCAGCCTTTAATGAACAAAACTTGGTAATACTCCTTAAACCCCAACATCTCTCCTCACAGCATGGCTTCACAGCAGTTTATCGTTTATTTCTATTTCTTTTCAGTTAAAAAGTTCTTGCTAGTTTTATCAACCTGCAGTTAAATGACCCAGTGAACACCGCCTTTGCTGGAGTCTTTATAAAAGAAGAGTAATATTTTAGGAAAGAGAAAAAAAAAAAACAACCACAAAACAGGCCACATCACATTATGAGATTTCCAATTTTGCTACGATTTTGTCCTCTGGGAATCCAGGGCTTTGAGTGGACTGATGATGTAGGAACTGTGATAAGAAGTTTTTCTATGGTAACAAATGAAAAATTGAAAACCCGCTTCAGCCATATTTGAGTTCACGCCGTTATCACTTTGTGTTTTCACCAGTTACTTGTCTGTTGTGCTTTTCGCCAATGCTGGCTCTGTGGCCACATTCAGAGCCTGAAGGGTTTTTAAAAGTTCCTTTTTATTTTTTGACTGTGCCAGTATATTCCTAATGTTACCACTACCCCTTACCTACAAAGAGCAAACATCTCATATTTAACTAGTAGAAAATATGTACAGATTTTAGTAGTCAACATATTTATCTGCAAAAAGAACAAATACTAGTTTGCGCTGAATCATTCTCAAAAAACATGTAGAAGCTGATCAGTGGCGCTGAAATCAAATGACACAGGTCCACACAGGTCTCTCTTTCTCTGACCTTGCAGACAAATGGGACTCCAGATAAACCCTGATTTAAAGTTTCTGTGCATCCTAGAAATGGATACAAATGTGTTACAAAATCACACTCCAGTACTTTTACAGGAGGTTTGTAATATTTTTCATGTTCCAACAGCATTTTTAAACCCATTTAAAGGCCTAAAATGTATTCAAGGACTGTTTAGAAGCACAGTCTACTTGCTCTTGGCACAAAAAAGGAATTAAAAAAATGATAAATGAGGAAACACAGACAGAAAGAATTTACAATGTATCCTGTAAACATGATACAATTTGCTGTGTGGCTTATCAATGAAGACAAACCAGCACCCAGGAGATTGGCTAGAGCCCAAATGTTAATAAGGGCAAAGTGGACCCAAGGCCTGGGCGAGAAGTATTTTCTGAGTGAAAGAAGTGGGGAGAGGATTGGAATTAGGTAGAATTGGATTCAAGGCAAATTTGCATATAGAGACTATGGTAGAACCAGAGGTAGAGATTGCTGCAGTCAATACTGAGAAATGTGTATTTACCATTAGGTGAATTGCAATTTTTCATATGCATTGTCTTAGTTGATTCTCATGGCAACCCTAATAAATATATTATTATGTTCATTTTGTACATGGAGACAAGGAGACTCATTTTGGCTATAACCAAATCAGGGTAAGTTCAATATCACACAGTTAGAGAGTGCTAGAGACAAAAGTGGGGTTTGGAACTTCTGACAACAGTCAAGTGCAGCTTAACAATGAGGCTACATTCTGAGAAATGTGCCATAGATAGTTCCATTGTTGTGCAAACATCATGGAGTGCGCTTACACAAACCTAGATGTTATAGCCTACACACCTAGAGTACATGGTATATATAGCCCATCGCTCCTAGGCTATGAGCCTGTACAGCTTGTTACTGTACAAAACCACACTAGAGAAAATGATGCAACCAAGAGACTAGTTAAATACGAGCCTTATACATAAGGCTGCTGCTGGCATAACACAGCATATTCTTTTACAGCAAACTTCTTTTTTGTATGTAGAAAGAATATAACATAACAGTAAGAAGTATAGTAAGTAAATACATGAGCAAGTAACGCAGTCATTTATAATCATTATCAGTATTATGTACTTTACATAACTCTATGTGCTGTACTTTTATACACCTGGCCATGCGGTAGGTCTGTTTACACCGGCATCAGCACAACGACGTGAGTAAGGCACTGTGCTACGACTTGACAACAGCTACGACGTCACTAGGCAACAGGGATTTTTCAGCTCCATTATAATCTTATGGGATCACCATTGTATATGCAGTCTGTCTTAACTGTATTTTATTACTGCTCTTTTCACTCCACCCTTCTGCCTCAGGTGGCAGTTTGGAAGTCAGAACTGCGGTATCTTTAAAGGTGACGGGAGTCTGGGTGGAGTGTCAGTGGAGCGAAGGAGTAGAGGAAAGATGGAACTACTCCTGGGCATGGACTAGTCAGTGCAGGCAGAAGTTGAGAGCTCTGCTAACCCTGCGGGAGGGCAGGCTTTACTGAGTCCCTGGCTGTGCCTACATACATGGAGCTTGGCCCCTGACCAGTCCTTGTCGTACAGACAGTGTTTGGTCATGACATCTGACATTGGAAATCTTTTCGGCAGTGTGTTACTGAGGCTAAAGTATGAGAACCGGAGGGAAGGCTTCTGTTGGAGAGTCGGTGCTTGCCTGACTCCCGGGGGCGTGGCTCCCTGCTCCCTAGGGCAGGGCAGCAGGAGCAAGAAAGGGGAGAACCTAGCTTTTCATCACCGTCGGTCCTGGTATTATTCCCTGTGCTGGTCTGTTTGACTTTTGAGGACAATTAGATATATTATTCACTCCAAGCTAAAAGACCCTGATGCTCTCACCTTTCTTAATTAAGCATGTTTTCTAATCCTGAAATTACATTGGCTTTATGACCCTGGGCAGGTCACTTAACATCGGAGCCTTTATCCCACGTAACTCACAGGAGCATGTGGAAGTGTTTTCTAATAAAAGTACTTCTTGGCAGCTGCAGGCACTGGCTGTGTTTCCAAAGACTTAAAATGCCTTCCCTTTCACAGTATCTGCTTCTGCTTTTTCTTTCCAGAGTCGAAAACATGCAAGCAAAGTCCGGCTGTATTACATGCTCCACCCCAGGGACGGTGGGTGTCCTGCCAAGAGGCTCCGGTCAGAAAATGTGAGTATCTGGCTCCGTGTGATGTCCTTAGACAGTTGGTTGTGTTTGCTAAGACCTTTGCAGATCTAGCAATTGTAACCATGTAGAAACAGTTCTCATTAAATATTATAGAAAATATTACCTATAAGCAAGTTGTTTTTCTTATTTCTGCCAGAACTTGCGGGTATGGTATTAAAGGACTTTTTGATGATACTGTGCCAGGGGTGCACAGAGAAAGAATTGAGAGAGGCACCAGGACAGAAGGAGGCGGGGTGAGGAGAGACAGGAGCCATGAGAAGACAGACAGCAAGGAAGACATGACCTAAGGGGCAAACCTGTTAGATACAGCAGGTGCTTTGCTTTTTACATATTTTATTTTTCCTTTGGTGTATAAAACAGACTGTGACTTTGTTCATTTATAATGAGGACTGTACATATCTTGCAAATAAAAATACTCAGGGTTTTTGAGTAGCACCCCCTCTCTCTGAGGGAACATTTACTTGGGAAGACAAATGACAATTACAAAGTTCCTCTGAGGGTCTCAAGTCAGAGCAAAGGGTTTACTTCAGCCAGGTCAAGGTGAAGACCGATGAAGTAAATATCCTTAACAGGGTTTACTTTTCCTAATAAGTGGAAGATTATTCTTTATTTGAGTTGCTTTTTTAAAACTGAAGTATAGTTAGCATACCATATTGTAGGAGTTCCAGGTATACAACATAGTGATTCAACATCTATGTATATTGTGATATATGAACACCACACTAAGTCTAGTAACCATCTGTCACTATGCAAAGTTATCCCACTATTATTGACTATATTTCCTTCATCTTTTTTACCCATCCTATACCCCACCCCTCTGGAAACTATCAGTTTGTTCTTTGTTTCTATGAGTCTGTTTTTGTTTTGTTTTGTTTGTTAATTTGTTTTTATTTTTTAAGAAAAATTCCACATATGAGTGAAATCATGTGGTATTTGCCTTTCTCTATATGACTTATTTCAATTAATATCCATCCAAGTTGTCACAAATGGCAGGATTTCATTATTTTTATCGCTGAGTGAAATTCGTGTGTGTGTGTGTGTGTGTGTGTACCACATCCTCTTTAGCCATTTACCTATTGATGCACACCTAGATCGCTCTCGTATTTTGGCTATTACTAGTAATGTTGCAATGAATATAGGTGCGTACATATCTTTTCCAACTAGTATTTTCATTTTTGGATAAATACCCAGAAGTGGATTTGCTGGGTCATACGGTGGTTCTGTTTGCAGCTTTCTGAGGCCTCTCCATCCTGGTTTCCATAGTGGCTGCACCGATTTGTAGTCCCACGAGCAATGAGTGGAATATTCATAGCTATGAAAAACATTGAGACTCAACCCGGAATTTCCTTTCTCTTTGAGTTCTGAGGAGGCTACAGGCGTAGATTTATACCCTACACTGTCACTTATGCTTTGTGATCTTGTTTTCCTTTACTGCCGTATAGTTGCCAATCTTTTTTTCTTCATTTAAAATTAATGCATAATCATTGAAGAATCTTGACAAAAGCTGTACTTGTACATTCTTCAGAGGGAAGAAAAGGGAGAGCAAGAGAACAGCACATGATCAAAGGTAGTGAGCATCAGGGCTGGTGCTGCTGATGAATTCCAAACCTGCCTGTTAGCATCGCAAAATGAACTGCTCATACGCAGACTAACCTGGAATATGGGAATTTCCTGCCTCTGTGAAGCAGCATGCAGAGCTTATTGGAGACAAAGTGTGCCATGAAAACTTTGCAAGTGCTAAGGAGTGAGACCGAATCTAGTTTTGTCAGTGCTCAGCTTTACGTCCTCGGACAAAATCTCTGTGAGCCTCAGTTTCCTCAGTACAGCTACAATTATCATACTTTCCTCACTGGGCTTTTGTGAAGATGAAATGAACGAGTAGGTAATGAGGAGCATTGCTACATGTCAGGCAATGAGGAAAAGAGAGATAAGACACAGACTTGTCTAAAAGAAACTCATAGTATAGTGAGGAAAACTAACTGAATAAAAAATAGCTATAATGCCACAGTATAGGTGTTTATTAACATTCTTCACAAAGTCCCATGGGAACAATGGGCAAGTGAGTTATGCCAGGGCAAGCCAATCGGGGAAGGTGTTACTCAAGAGTTGCATTCGAGTTGGGGCCTTTGGGTCCGAATGGATTGTATCCAATGTAGGGGGTGGGAGTGAGAAAGGAAGACTGCTGTATTTTGTCAAAAGAACTTATGTTATCTCAGAGTTCTTTCGTTACATGGAATCATGCTTTCTATTAGGTATCTATTAGAAGAGAGACAGAATTAGCTTTTTTGATCCCCTCCCCGCAAAAACATTTTTTCCAGCAATGGTGCCTCTATTGCTTCATTCAATAGTCATTTAGTGTCTTATCCTACTAGTCAGAAACATTGGGTTCAGGGACACTTAAGTTAGCTCTTGGACACAGATCACTTTCTATCCACTTATATTCTACACATGAATGTTGCACTTATATCTGAGCTCCTGAGGAGGGCTTGGTCAGGCAGACAGGAAAATTAAGGGGGTGCTGGGACTCAAGCTGATGGTCCTCCAAGATGTGGTCTTGTCGCTCTGGTCTGACCCGTGATTCACCCCATTCAGGCTCTGGTTCTGCCAGTAACCTTGAGGTCGTTTATGGAGTGGAAGATCTTGGGGTTTTAGAGCAAGAAATATTTGCAAGGGTTTGAGGACTTTTTCCTTTGGTGTATCTGGGTTTTGAAAACTTTGATCTACCATTGATTTATTTATTAAATCATTTTTCTATTACTAATTAATCATAGTGTCAAAGCAAATCAGTAAACAGGGAAAGCAACTTAATGATCTTACCTTCGAAAGAGATGACTGGTGCTTTTATTAGGCTATGTCTGCTTTCCATGGGTGAGTATATCTTGGCCACTAGGCATTTGGATATAGTGGATAAAGTGTGGAGGCCACCCCTCCAGGGCTATGAGAGTCAATATTGGTAATTATTTGGACCAACTTTATTTTGTACAGACTCATGCCTTAGGGCTGAGAGACTGAATATACAAATGGATAATGGCCAGACCGCATATAAAAATAGAATTTTGTCCAAGAAAACCAAGCCATTAATGAATAGTGACCAGCCCAGGAAGCCTGCCTAAACCAGACTCAGAAAGTCTTCAGTATCCACTCAGAACATCAAACAATAATCCCTCTAACAATAAACCCCCAAAATAACAGGGCTTGATTGCTCCCTGTCAGCTTCTCTAATTTTGTCCCCAGTTCCAACTTAGGACCAACCAGAAGAAGCCACATATGCATCCTAAGCAATCACATATGGTGTCCTCTTCTAGTTAACCTACCTACAGCTTCCCCACCCAGCAGCCTCCACTCAGGGCATACCTGCAGCCTCCTGGTTTTTTCATTATAAAGTTTCCCACTTCTCCGCTTGCCTTTGAGTCTCCCCCAAATACAAGTGAGGGTGGCTGAGTCTTTGCTATAGCAAACTTTGAATAAATAACTTTTCTTGTGCTCTTTTGGTTGGCCTTTGTTTATTTCCACAGGGTTATAAAATGGGATAACAATGATAGCTAATATACAGGTTTGTTATAAGGCCCAACTGAGGTAATTCATTTATTTAGTACTTTGTTTTTAAGGAGCTTTCTGCATGCGTCATTATTATTATTGCTCCTCTTTCCACCAGCAGCCTGTGTTTTCGGGAGGATGTAACGCTTCCCTCCTCTTGCTTCTCTCCTCCTGCCCCTGCCCCCACCTGCCCTGCCTCCAGGGGTTGTGGCAGGTTTGCATCCCAGTGTTAGCTGACCGAGAGCAGTTTCATGATGCCCTGAATACCCAGCAACGTGAGTGGCTTCTAAAAAGAGAGAAAACTCAAGGCTGACTTTCCAAACCCTGCCTGCAGATGAACCTTGGGCCCTCGGTGGCTCCTCCAGTTGATGGGGCTGGTGATAATGGCACATCCTTCCCTCACCCTTCCTAGCCCTGGAATGTACAGTAACTCCAAGTTTACATACAGATGCACGGAAGTGGGTATGGTTATTGCTAAGTCCTATCGCCATTTCCACTCCAGGCATTTGACTTTTTGTTGTTGTTGTTCGAAAACTTAAACTTATTTTCATTTCCTGTCATTGCATTTCTAACTTTTAAAATTCCCCCTTCACCTGCTTTTACTTTTTAGAAGTCTCCTTTGGAGCTTCTGTGGTTTTTCCCCTTGAAATTTTAGAGCAAGATGTTTTCCCCTTGATGGCCACAGAGTAAAATTACATGTAAAATAAATTGTCATAGTTGATTGCCTTAGAGAAACTTTCAGTAATCCCCCAAGCGTTCTAGCTGAAAAGGGACTTTAGAAATTCTCTAGTGCATTGAGAATCTCAGTTTTTCACCAGTGGCCTTTTTTATTATCTTCTTATCCATGGGTCACATGCTTTGAAAAAAAATCGTCAATATGGGAAATAGCCCCTTTAAGTAAAAAGGTGATTGAGTTTACTTTTATTTTTGTTTTGTAAAGATAACTAACTGCTGACCCAAATCTCCAGTCAGTATTAAGTAAATAGTGTTTTTACATGGAGTTAATATAATTCCTTCTAAGTGGAGAAACTGACATTTCGTTAGCCTGATCAGGCTTATTGAGCCTAAATATTTACCTGGTTTCCCTGAGGTCTGAAGTATCCAGCAGAGCTTGAGAACCTCCAATATCACTTTCCCAGGTACCTAGACAGCCCGGGTTTCAGGTTGAGAGGACTCAATCTAATTCACCCTCCCCGCCCTTAGTACAAAGGTGAAAATAAGGTTCAATGAAGTACCATGCCTTGTCCAAGCTGGCCAGGGCACTGAGGTTATGACTCTTCCTGCTTCCCTACTTCCGAGTCCTAGGCTTCTGCCACCTATCTTGAAATCGTATCTTATTTTTAGGTATCAAAGCCATTGCTGGGTCCAGAGCCTGAGAACATTGTTCTGGGGCAAAGTAGTAACAGTAGCTGTTACTTATCAGGCACTTCCCACTTGAGTTCTAA